ATATAGACTCATAAATATGGTCTTTTCCTCACTGAGATTGTTCAGGTTAAACAGTCATAGCTAACTGTACAGCAAAGGCCATTGCTTTGCCTCCGACAGTGACATGTCCTGGCTATGTGGTGTCAGGGTGATTATATTGAACCCTTCCCATAAACAAGTGGCATCTCTTTGTGTTTGCAGAGATAAACAGATATTCTGGATGTGTATTTTGTTTCTCCACTTGCATTACCTTTGTCAGCATTTATTACAGAAGCCGTATTCATCATTTTATTCCATACAACATTACCTCCATGTAAAGGAAGTGTCGTAATAGGCTCAGAACAACAAAATACACTCACCATATGTGCCATCACCTAGAAATAGCTGGCATTGACAAGAGTGGTTGTATGATTTCCTGAAGCTCAGGCACAGCAGTGGTGGAGAGATACCTGGCAATAAGCCCAAATGAACATGAATAATAAGTTTTATTTCTTTTTTTTTCCTTTCCTCTGTTTACTCTCAAAACAATCCTCATCCATAACTGAGCTAATTACACAGACAGTACCACCTCAAATTCTACTGGTCTAACACTGATTTCTTATATTCCTCATCATAAAAATTGTTTCTTTTTCCATATTCCTCTTGGCCTCAGATTATGACACCATCTTTCTCCCTTCATCCAAGTCAGAAATGTAGGAGTTATCCTTGACTTCCTACCTTTCATAAGCTCCCATATGTCATCTGTTCTAAAGTTCTGCTAATTTTGTGTCCAAAGACTCTCCCACATCTGGCACATCCCTCCCTTCCCAACTGCAGGTTCTCAATGCTCTCATCTCTACTTCATGGGCAGAGTACTTCTACTTAGTCTTTGTCTCTAATCTTTTTCCATCTCTGCGTAAACACTGAGGCTGTCTCGAAAACAAATTAAATCACCTCCTTACCTGAAACATGTCAGGGGCTCCATCCCAGATGATAGTTCCCCTCCCTAGGTTACTCTTTTCTGGGTCAATTCCATGGCCACAAGGTTTTCATCTTTTGATAGTTAGCTCAAACATCCCTTTCTAAGCCTTCCCTGACTTAACTAGGCACAGGCACTTTTCTTGGATACCCTCATTGATGTTTTATATCCTTGGCTGTCACACTTTTGCAAATCTCTGCATGTTTGTCCACCATCTCCACTATACTTTGAGCTCCTAAACAACAGGGACCCTGATCTGGTTATCAGCACAGGGCTGGAGACATAGTAGATGCTTAATGAATACATGTTATTTGTTGAATGAGTTGAGTCACTAAATGGCTGGATGTTGTAAGGCTGCAGGGGATGAATAAGAAATGTTATTTTGTGTGCTTTGTTTGCTGATGGCATCCTCTATCTGAATTTTGCTGACAATCAGCAGGGAATAAAATCAATAAAATTTTGATATTTTTTTTACCTCTCTTTTAATTAAACAAAATTTGATTTTTACATTCCCTTCCAATGCCCTACAGATCTTAGCTCTTCTTGACTTCTTTTCCAGTTTAAACTTTGATTCTTGCTAGGTCTTTTACATTTTAACTTCTCTCCCTATTGGTATATTCAGAAGAACATTTTTATAGTGCTTTTTTCTCTAAATTTTCTATCAACAACATTATCTCTATAGCCAAACTAGGTTTTTAGGTTTCTTTAAGATTTTATTTATGTATTAGAGACACACAGAGAGACAGACAGACAGACAGAGGGAGAAGCAGGCTCCATGCAGGAAGCCCAATGTGGGACTTGATCCCGGGACTCCATGCCCTGGGCCGAAGGCGGCGCTAAACCGCTAAGCCACCGGGGCTGCCCAAGTTTTTGTTTTATTTTTTTATTTTTTTCCAAGTTTTTGTTTTAAATATCACTCATTTTTTTATAAAACAAGTTATGATTATTATAATGTGATCTGTATTTCGGGTTTCTGTTCTATTTGAAACTCTGTTCTACTTGCTAACCAATTGTTGCTTGATTACTGTTATAGCCCACTTAATTATAAATAGTGACCGATATTTAAAGAGTTTAAAACAAATTATTGGAATAAGTTTTACAGTTCTCTTTAAAACAAATCCTCTTTCCTTATATCCTTGATGAGAACAAAAATAAACTGTTGTAAATCACTGTTGTCAAGGAAAAAGAAATATCCAGGTTTCCATATCTAATCACAAGTATATATTTTGGGAGGCAAAATGTAGAACTCATAAAAAATGTGCTCAACCCTAGTTTCTGATTTTTAAATGCATTTTTGTTGTGGCATGAGCATTAGTTAATAAACCTGGGCCATTGGGTATCATCACTCACTCATTCATTCAGTGCATTTTTTTTGAGTGCCTATTCAGCGAATATGGAGCGGACGGTTGCAATTTCTGCAAAGGAATCCCCACCTCTGTACACAATGCATTGCAAGTGGTGGACACTTGATAAATATTTATTATATAAGTAAGTCAATGAAAAACTATTGGAAAATTGTGAAATTATCCTTTCTTACAATTGGTGCTCTTACCAACCTACAGAATGGGAGAAGATATTTGCAAATGACCTATCAGATAAAGGGCTAGTATCCAAGATCTATAAAGAACTTAAACTCAACAGCAAAGAAACAAACAATCCCATCATGAAATGGGCAAAAGACATGAACAGAAATTTCACCAAAGAAGACATAGACATGGCCAGCAAGCACATGAGAAAATGCTCCGCATCACTTACCATCAGGGAAATACAAATCAAAACCACAATGAGATACCACCTCACACCAGTGAAACTGGTGAAAATTAACAAGACAGGAAACAACAAATGTTGGAGAGAATGTGCAGGAAGGGGAACCCTCTTGCGTGGTTGGTGGGAATGTGAACTGGTGCAGTCACTCTGGAAGACTGTGTGGAGGTGCCTCAAAGAATTAAAAATAGATCTGCCCTACGACCCAGGAATTGCACTGCTGGGGATTTACCCCAAAGATACAGATGCAGTGAACCGGCAGGACACTTGCACCCCAATGGTTCAGCAGCAATGTCCACAATAGCCAAACTGTGGAAGGAGGCTCAGTGCCCATCAAAGCTGAATGGAGAAAGAAGATGTGGTCTATGTATACAATGGAATATTACTCAGCCATCAGAAACAACAAATACCCACCATTTGCTTCAACGTGGATGGAACTGGAGGGTATTATGCTGAGTGAAGTAAGTCAATCGGAAAAGGACAAACATTATATGGTCTCATTCATTTGGGGAATATAAAAATTAGTGAAAGGGATTAAAGGGAAAAGAGAAAATGAGTGGGAAATCTCAGAGAGGGAGACAGAACATGAGAGACTCCTAACTCTGGGAAACGAACAAGGGGTGGTGGAAAGGAGGTGGGTGGGGGGATGGGGTGACTAGGTGATGGGCACTGAGGGGGGCACTTGATGGGATGAGCACTGGGTGTTAGATATATGTTGGCAAATTGAACTCCAATAAAAAATATATACAAAAAAAAACAATTTGTGCTCTTACTAACCAATATAAATCAAAAGGCATTTTCCTGCCTCTGTGAAAATATCTCTCATGTGTCGTTATCTATTTAAAGTTTGAAAAAGCAGAAACTTCATGAAGGCAGAGACATATCTTGTCACTGCCCTATGCCTTACTGTCCAGGAATTTGCAAGCCTTCTTTTACTGAATGCTTCCTATGTGCCATCGTTCTGAATGCTTTATAAGGACTTATTCTTCTAAACTTCTCAAGAATGCTGAGGAGTGTTATGAGTACCATTTTAAGATAATCTGAAGCCCCCAAACACTAGGTTATTTGGCAAAGGTCATAGAGCCAGTAAATCACAGAAACAAGACTCAAGGCCAGGTAGCTGGAAATCAGAGTCCTACCTAGCTCCATGCTACCACTGAGCCGCTTCCTACTCACTGTTGAATTAATAAGTGAAAACGGCTTCAGAGTAGGTTAACTTTTAAAATGGAATACCAGGGGCACCTGTGTGGCTCAGGCAGTGAAGCGTCTGCCTTCAGCCTAGGTCATGATCTCACGTCCTGGGATCGAGCCCTGCATTGGGCTCCTGGCCAGCAGAGAGCCTCTGCTCTCCATCTGCTGCTCCCCATGTGCTCGTGCTCTCTCTCTGTCAAATAAACAAATCTTTAAAAAAAAAAAAACTAAAAAAAAAAATGGAATACCACTGTAGTGTAGGTCTTAAAATGAAAAACCAAAGAAAAATCCTATTTTCTAATGTTCTTGTAAGGACTGCTAACTTGTCTTTACTCACTTAGCTCATGTTTGGTGTATGCATTCATATATGTGCTCACACTAACATGAGACAGAACAGTGCTGCCAAAGAAGTCTGGACTGGGAGTCAGATTTGAATATGGGCTCTGACATCTGTTTACTACCTACATGATCTTGAATAATTTCTTAACTTCTCCAGCTCTCAATTTCCTCACCCATAAAATGGGAATAAAAATAGCTGTCACAAATGGCTGCGTCTTTTTAGAGAGAATTAAACAAGATAAGGTATGAAAAGTACCTGACACAAAAAAAGATGTTACCATATCTTCCTTTTGCCTTCCCTCCCCTTTCCTCTTCTTACCTACTATTAGCCACGTGACCTTGTTTTCTGGGACTTAATCTCTCTCCTATAAGACAGGAGGGCTAGTCATCTGGTCTCCAAGATCCTTTAAGACTCTGTAATTCTGTGATTTGGTGATTTAATAAGTTGGTTTTTCATTGTATCATAACAGTGCAATGTACTTACAGGTGGTTTTGAAACGAGGCTTCACCAGTTAGCATGGTTAAGTTTCTTCCTTTTCCTTTTCCTTTCCTTCTTTCTTTTCTTTTTCTTTTCATTTCTTTTTTTCCCAAAAGATCCCATGACATAGAACTTGGTTTGGATGTATTTGAGTTAAATAGGGTAAAAACTTGGTGCAATATGTAAATAGTTTCACAGCTACTATATATATGTATATATATATATGAACTGCATTTCCTAGTAATCACCTGTTTCACAAGATTTATGTCTCCTTTCCTTTCCTCTGTTTAGGTACTATGCAGGAAGCCTACAGGCTAAGTCAACAAATCCTAAAACTCTAGATTTAATTCACACAGCAACCCAGGGGCTCATGAGATCAGTCGAAGGCAGTGGAATAGATGCTGTGATGGAATGGGAAGTGGATGAAGTGCTAAACTGGACAAATGCACTGAACTTTGATGAGTAAATGCATTCTGCTTTTACTGGGGAGCAAGGGCAGCCCTCCTGTACATTTCTAATGTTCCCAGCCCCATGTCTTGGGCCCACAAACATAATCCTAAAAAACAACAACAACAACAACAAAAACAAATGAGTATTGTTTGTCTAGAAAAAAAGAAATGAGGGAAGAATATTAAAAGATGATATAAAAGTAGAAAAAGAAAATAAGATTTAAGGATTTTTTAAATTGAAGTGTAATTAACATACAGTGATGTATGAGTTGTAGGTCTATAATACAGTGATTCAACAATTCTGTACATAGCTCAGTGCTCACCATGATAGGTATAGGCACTATCTGTCACCATACAACTTTACTACAATATTATTGATTGGGTTTCTGATACTGTACTTTTCACCTCTGTGACTTATTTATTTTATAATGGAAACTTTGTACCTCTTAATCCCCTTTGTCTATTTCAGCCATCCTGCCACCCACCCCCCTTTGACAGCCATCAGTTCTGTATATTTAGAATCTGATTTTTGGTTTGTTCATTTGTTTTGTTTCTTAGATTCCACACACAGTGAAATCCTTTGACATTTGTCTTTCTCTGTCTGACTTATTTCACCCAATGAGGTGACTATATTTCACCTCATTATACCCTCTAGCTCCACCAATATTTTCACATGTTAAGGGTTCATTCTTTTTAATGACTGAAAAATATTCCACTATTATATATATATATATATATATCACATCTTTTTTATCCATTCTTTAGCAAATAGACACATGGGCTGCTTCCATATCATGGCTACTGTAAATAATGCTGCAATAAACATACATATCTTTTCGAATTAGTATATTCGTTTCTTTCAGTAAATACCCAGTAGTGGAATTACTCGATCATATGGTATTTCTATTTTTATTTTTTTTTTTTTAGAAATCTTTATACTGTTTTCCATAGTGGCTGCATCAGTTTGCATTCCCACTGAAAATGCATGAGGGATTCCTTTTCTCCACATCCTCACCAACACTTGCTATTTCTTGTCTTTTTTATTTTAGTTATTCTGACAGATATGAGGTGATATCTTATTGTGGTTTTGGTTTGCATTTCCCCGATGAGTGGTGTTGAGCATCTTTTCATGTGTCTGTGGCCATTTAGATGCCTTTTATTTCTTGTCTGATTGCTGTAGGATTTCTAGTACTATGTTGAATAAAAGTGGTGAAAGAACATTCTTATCTTGTTCCTGATTTTAGAAGAAAAGCTCTCAGTTTTTCACCATTGTTAGCTATGGGTTTATCATATATAGCCTTTATTATCTTGAGGTATGTTCTCTCTCAACCTACTTTGTTGAGAGTTTTTATCATGAATGATGTATTTTGTCAAATGCTTTAAAAAAAATCTATTGAGAGGATTGTATGGCTTTTCTCCTTCTTCTTCTTAACTTGATGTATCACATTGATTGATTTGCAAAAATTGAGCCACCCTTGCATCCCTAGACTAAATCCCACTTGATTGTGGTGGATGATACTTTTAATGTATTATTGAATTCAGTTTGTAAATATTTTGTTGAGGATTTTTGCATCTATGTCATCAAGTAAATTGGCCTATAGTTGGGGGTTTTTTTCTGTAGTGTTTGACTGGTTTGGTATCAGGGTAATGCTGGCTTCATAGAATGAATTTGGAAGTTTTCCTTTCTCTTCTATTTTTTGGAACAGTTTGAGAAGAATAGGTATTAATTCTCTTTTAAATATTTGGTAGAATTCACGTGTGAAGCCAGCTGATCCTGGACTTGTGTTTGTTGGGAGTTTTTTGATTACTGATTCAATTTCATTCCTAATGATTGACCTGTTCATATTTTTCTATTTCTTCCTCATTCAGTTTTGGAAGATCATACATTTCTAGGAATTTGTTCATTTCTTCTGGGTTGTCCAATTTGTTGGCATATAATTTTACATAATATTCTCTTATAAACGTTTGTATTTTTTTAAAAAGATTTTATCCATTTATTCATGACAGAGAGGGAGAGGCAGAGACACAGGCAGAGGGAGAGGGAGAGAAGCAGGCTCCATGCAGGGAGAGTGACATGGGACTCGATCCTGGGTCTCCAGGATCATGCCCTGGGCTGAAGGCGGCACCAAACTGCTGGGCCACCGGGGCTACCCAAACTTTTGTATTTTTGTGGTGTTGCTTGTAGTTTCTCCAAAATAATTTCTGATTTTATTCTCTTTTCTTTCTTGATAAGTCTAGCTAAAGGTTTATTACTTTTGTTGATCTTTTCAAAGAGCCTTCTCTTGGTTTCATTAATCCTTTCTATTGTTCTTTTAGTTCCTATATTAACTTATTTCCTCTCCAATCTTTATTATTTTTCTCCTTCTACTGACTTGAGGCTTAGATTTTCTTTTTTTAGCTCCTTAGGTATAAGGTGGGGTTATTAGTTTGAGATTTTTCTTGTTTCTCGAGTTAAGGTGTGTTTTTATTATAAGTTTCCGTCTTAGAACTGCTGCTGCTGTATCCCAGTGATTTTGGACTGTTGTGCTTCCATTTTCATTTGTCTCCATGTATTTTTTTCTTTGATTTCTTTGTTGACTCATTGGTTGTTTGGTAACATATTGTTTAGCTTCCAAGTGTTTGTGATTTTTCCAGGGTTTTTTTTTTTTTAATTTGAGTTTCATACTGTTGTCGTCAGAAAAGGTGCTTGATATGATTTCAGTCTTCTTAAAATTATTGACACTTGTTTTCTGGCCTAACAGCTGATGTATCTTAGAGAATGTTCCATGTGCACTTGACTATGTATTCTGCTGTATTTGGATGAAATTCTCTTTATATATCGGTTAGGTTCATCTGGTCTAATTATGTTGCTCAAAGCCACTGTTTTCTTATAGATTTTCTGTTTGGGTAATCTAACCATTGACAGTGTCAAAATCCTCTAGTATTATGTTATAACCATCTATTTCTCCCTTTATATCTGTTAGCATTTGCTAGGTGCTTCTATGTTGGGTGCAGAGGTATTTACAATTGTTATATCCTCTTGTTGGATTGATCCCTTCATCATTATATAATGCCATTCTTTGTCTCTTACTACTGTCTTTGTTTTAAAGTCTGTTATAAATATTGCTACCCTGGCTTTTTTCTCCACTTCCATTTGCATGGTTCCATGCCTTCACCTACAGTCTGTATGTGTCTTTATTTTGAAGTGATCTCTTATAGGCAGCATATAGATGGGTCTTGTTTTTTTTTTGTTTGTTTGTTTGTTTGTTTGTTTTTTATCCATTCTGTTATCCTATGTCTTTTGATTGGAGCATTTAGTCAATCTACATTTGAAGTAACTATTGATAGGTATGCACTTATTGCCATTTTGTTAATTTTTTTTCTGGTTGTTTTGTAGTTCTTTTCTGTTCTTTTCTTGTTCTCTTGCTTTCCTCCCTTGTGGTTTGAGCTATGCTTGTATTCTAAGTTGGGTACTGGACAACAAAAATTTCAAAGGAATCCAGCATGATTATTTGAGAATATTTAAGTAACTTACTGAGCTCAAGCTATTGATTATCTTAGGCAAGATCAAGCTTGCAAAGACTTTCGCCTACTAATGGCAGACATTAGGTGTAAGCACCTTTTCCACAGTGTAATTATGGTCTCCACAGGAGACCTCTGTTAGATCTTCATGGCTATCTGGATATTTGCAACTGTCTTAATGACACTCTGTTGAGAATTTCAGAGTCTGATATTTTTCCCTTCAGGAAGATTGGTAGCCACTAAAATCTGTAGTCCGACCTTTAAAATGACATAAATGTGTTGAACATTGATGTTCAGTGATACAAACCAGTTTCTTCCCAAAAAAACTTGTGTGCTAGCTCCTTGTGTGGCAGATGGACTCTCCACTGGGAACAATCATGCATATCTTCTGATGGAATATCAACTGAGAATAATATTGTTATTAATCTGAAGAATAAATAGAGGCAACTTAACTTTTGGACTCAAGGATACTGAGGAGTACCATTGCCCTTCTGTGGTATCCAGAGATATACTGCTATAGGTGTTTAGAATGTAAAACAATCCTTGCATTGCCATGATTGAATCACCCACATGATGGCTACTATGACAGCTGCTGACATTATCCTGCTGGATTTCAGGGTCATATTCTCTATCCAGATGGATGTTCCTCCCAGAGTCTTCATATTTTTCAAACTGCAAGTGAATTTTGACATAACCTGTTCAGTGGTCAGCTGCTGGATTATCTTAGTTGCCTGATATTCTGTGAATCCTGTTAGTGAGAGCTCTTTGCCTATGTGTGTTACAGGCAATTTCTATGTCTGAAGCTGTTCCTCTGATATCTAAGACATGTAGTTATGTGGCCTTTCTGGCCAGGGACTTTTCCCAGGCCATTAAGGTGTTAAATTTATACTTTTGAGAGATTCACCATAGGTTCCATATATACATTATTCTGAAAATGTCCAAAAATATCTTAGTGAGAAAGACAGATCAGGTCTATGATATAAGCAGCATGGTAATGCTTTCATTAGATTGTTGCTTGTATTTGTAAAACTTAGATTTCTTATTGATTACAGTTGGTATGTTCACTGACAATTTTTTTATGCAATCAAATAAGTTCATGTCCTAATCTCAGGGTTAGTGATCAGCCTTAAATATGGTGTATGTTTGTGCCCAGACTGTCAGGTCATAAGATACAATTGACTGAAGGTCCTTTATATTGGTTTCTTGAAAATGGAAGGAAAACTTTCAGTATATAAATCCAAGGAAGCAGAATGATTGGCATCCAATACTTCATAGGGCTCCTCTGACATCCAATACTTCATAGGGCTCCACTGAGGACAGAATTTGCCTAAATTTAAAGTCAAGCCAGACTGAATTGTCTACTATGAGATTCTGGAGGGAGTTTACACCACCTGATGTTTTCCTACATCTTTTTCATGTGGCAATGATCCAGCATCATCCCATTTAAAGCTGTAGAATAAAGTTCTTGGAGCAACAATAGGTAGTAGTAACAAGAAGGAGCCAATTTAGATACAATACTTTGTTTTAATTAAATGCTGTTAGATAACATACACCTTCCTATAACAACAAAAAATCCAGAAACACACAGTCAACAAAAGTAAAAACAATTCACAAGGAATAAATAAATACTTGAAAAATGATAGCATTTTCTGAATTACATTATTCAGAATTCTCACTTTTTTCTCTGTCACGTCCATTGTCAGCACCTTTTGGAACCAACTCCTTATTTGATTTCTTGGGTGCAGCCAACACCTTACCTGATTTCAAAGAGGCTTGGGGAAAGGGATGAAATAGGATGTCACAGGAAACCTGCCTCTTTAAGTCTCCACCTCAGCTTTGTAGCTCATCAGGCCTTACCTTCCCTATTTTACCTCTTTTTGGGCTTCCTTTGTCTCCCTGATTCAGTCTCTGTTTAGGAAACAGAGGTGGCAGCCCTAAAATCATGCTCTATTTAAATGTAATTTTTTATATTTATCAGACATGTCAAAGATAGCACCATTGCTCTAATATAATCATAAAGCATACACTTTAAATTTCCATTGATATGTCAGAGACCATAAGTCCAACAATCAAGAACCAAGGAGAAAGTGTTTCATTGTGGTAGTTTTCCCCTCACTTTTTCCCTCCCAGAGAATTTTCTGTTTGTAATTTTAATTTAGAATTTAGCTGAGATCTTAGTATGCATTCAACTGAGGACATGATGTTGCAGGAATGAACAGCATAAAATGAGAAGAGGTATGCTGGAGGGAGATCAGAGGGCACGAATATGATAGAAGGCACCATTTTTATTCCTCCTCCAATTCCTTGTCCTAGAGGTTGCTTTAGATACATGAGAGTTAGTTGGAGATGGAGAAGTCATGAGAATTAAACATTTGGACCTATGAATTTGTCACCATCAATCCAAGATTTCATAGAGAAAGTGGAATTTTAGGAGTAGTCTAACATGTACTAATGAATCAATTTATTACTAATACATTGATTTAATTTAATGAATGCCCATATAATGTGCTTAGGTATATTGCCAACTGGAAGGAAATTGCTACAAGCAACTCTTCAGCTAACTTCACAAGTAGGTGATTTTTAGCAATACTTTTATGGGAAATCCTTGTGAACAAAAATGACACATTTCACACATGTGCACATTTCTAAGCACCTAACATTTCAGCAGCCTGCATACTATGTAGACATAAATGAATTTGCTAAGTCATTTTTACCTTGATATGTAAGCCTGTTATTTGGAAATAGAAGAAAATTTTCTGTCTTATTTATGTTGGATAAGATGGTTTTAAAAATTAATCCTCCTTTTGAAAAGTTACTTCTTTCATGGTTTCAGTAATTATTTTTAATGAGCAAACTTCACTTGGCAAAATAAATGCCTCAAAATATTAGAAATAAGGGCACCTAGCTGGCTCAGTTGTTAGAGTATGTGATTTCTGATCACAAGGTCATGAGTTCAAGCCCCACATTGGGCATTTACAGCCTACTTTTTAAAAAGTGGGGTTTTTTTCATGTTAGAAATATTTTTTTTAGGTTCTATGCCACTTGTCCTGCCAGTGGCCCACAGTACTGAGAAGCTGAAAGTGATAGCATGTTGAGGAAGCATATTCTCATGTCCTAGAAATTTCAATAATTCTAATATAGCTCAAGCCTAATTATGGTTATTGTATAATCTGAGTGTATGGGTTCTGTCCTGTGATCATCACTGAGAGGCAGTAAAGTGGAGAGTTTACATTTGTGGAGTGTTGATTCAGACTGCATGGTTTTGAATTTTGGCTGTGTGATATTGGAGAAATTACTGGCTCAGTTTTCTCATCTGTAAAATTAGAATAACAGTAGTACCCAGCTCATAGGTAATTGTGAGGTAATAAGAGATAATACATGTGAATAGCTGAGAATAGTGTCTAGCAATAACATGTTCTCATAAATGTTAGCTGTCATTTGCCTTAACCTGTCTGCTTACGGCCACCCCAACAGTCCATGTGTCCATTATGCTTCTCCAACACCTCCAAACTGACAATCATCCAAAGCCCTCCCCACACAATAGATAGTGATCTTTTACAGATTTAAATCAGTACAGTTAAAACATTTACTTAACAAACTCTTTTTAAGGAATTACTATGTGGAAGTGCTGTCTTAAAGTGCTTTATAAAATTAATTCCTTTAATTTTCAGAACAACTCAATGAGACAAGGTTCATTTTATAGATAAGCAAACAAAGAGATACCAAATTACTTGCTCAAGGTCACACAGTCACTTCTTGTGAGGGATAGGATTTTAATGGAGGCAGGCTAGCTTTAGAAACCACACTCCTAAAGATGAGTACCTCTGCTGTTTCTGATAGTTTTCTACTGCACTTGGAATATAGTCCTAACTTAATCATAGCCTCCTGGCTCTGGGTCTGGCTCCCCTTCCATCCTTATCATATCAGGCTTTCCCCCTCATTCAGAACCCTGTCTCACCAGCCTCTTGCCTATTCCTCAGAAATGTTCTGTGGTTTCCACTTGAGGGGTTTAATGGAGTTTATGGCCTTCTAGAGAACAGTTTTAGGTCTACCTTCACCTGACAGAGGAGTTTGGTGTTTGATATGAATCCCCAACTTATAGCACGTAGTAGGTTCTCAATTGCAGATAAAAGAATATAAAGGAATGACAAGTACAAAAATTGAAGCAGAGAATGTAAATACTGAGTTAAGAGATTACTGTGAAAAAAAAAGGAAAGTTATAGCATGGCAATTGGAAGGGACATAATATCAAGTGAAAACTATTTTAAGTAGTGGAGATTTGCACTGTCAGTGCAGTCAGTGGAAGGTGACACACTGAGATCTTTGGCCATGGGAGAAGAGGAAAGACTGTGTGCCATTTCTCCAAGAAGCACGAGGAAATCCAATCTAGAGATTTGAAGCTTTTACCTCTAGGGAGAGAAAAGGCTTCTCTTCATTTGTAAATAAAGAACTGTTAGCTAATAATTATAGAGCACCAGCTAAGTGCCAAACTAATAAAATGTTAGGTTCTATACAGGCACCCTCACACTTAATTCTCATAGAAATTGTGAGCTGTGTATGTGCCAGTATTATCCCCATTTTACAGATGAGGACATTGAGAGGTTAGGTAACCTACCCCAGATTATACAGCTACTTAGTAGTAGATCAAACCTTAGACCCAGGTTCTGCAAAGCCTTTTGTAGAGATGGACAATGATGGTAGTGAAAAGTAGATGAATAAGAAATTTGCAACATTTATGGCTAAGTAGGATATAAAAGTATCTGTTCTAAGAGTGGTAAGAAGGAATATAGAAGAGACCTTGCCTGGTACGTAGAGGCATATTGAATGAGTCTATACCTTATCATATCCAACATCTTTCTAAACATTTGTCATTTCTTTCTAGGTTTCACACTTGAGCAAGCACAGAAAAAAAGATATGACTATGCAGATATGTCAGAGGAGAAAATGGGAACACCAGAAGATACTTTATATGGAAATATTTTTAAAAAAACAAATTATACTAGACTAACGCCTGATTCCACTTATGGAATATAAATATAAAGTACTCTACTTTTCTGAGCTATAGTCCTTCAAGCCCTGATTCTATTGGTTATAGCCAAGAGATAGTTTATTCTGGCCAGAATGACTTATAAATTCTTGGCACAGAATCTATGTAGCTCAATTAAGTAAAGAAGCCTAAAGAGAAATAGGACATTGGACTGAATACAATGGTCATGGAAAATGTAGAAATTACTCCTTGTATTCTAACAATCCTGCTTAAATAAATACATTTAGGTACAAAAAAAAAAACCCTTTAGGTTGATTTTTCTTCTTTATTTGAAGCATTCTTTATTTGTGCAATCATGTCAGGCAGAGCTCTTTTTTCAATTAAAAAAAAAGGGAAAGGGGTAATGTAACAAGTTCTCCTTTTATCAGGAAAGCCAAAGTCCTACCAGAAGGCCCAGCCCTCATCACTTTTGGCATCCTTGCAATGAAACTGGGTTGCAGGGGGACCCTTAGCTAAAGAAGCTAGAAAAGCAAAAATCTGTATTTCAGCTTCCACAGAGGGAGGAGTAGAGCTGCGGAGGTACCTGCCAGGTCTCCCACACTCTAAGTTTGAATTACTCTATGTTCCCATAAGCATCCTTTGCTACTACTCATCATCACACTTTCTACACTGTATCTTTAAATAATCTGTCTATAATCCTAATAGACTAGAGGCTTATACCCTCAAATATTTAAAAAAAAAAAAACAACCCAGCACTCAGAGAACCTATATATTTAAGGAAAAAACAGATTTATTGAGATATAATTTACATGAACATTTTCCCATTTTGAGTGTTCTGTTTGAGTTTAGACAAATGTATACATTCATGTAAATATAATATTCAAGACATAATTTATTTCCATCACCCTAAATTGGGCATTTTTGTAGTCAGTCCACTCACTTCACCCAAACGCCCCAGAACCACTGATCTTTCAATCACTACAGTTCTGCCTTTGCTAGAATGTCATATAAATGGAATCATTCTATATTTAGTCTTTTTTGGTTTAGCTTCTTTCATTTTAGCATAATGCTTTTGAGATTCAACCTTCTTGTCACTTTTTTTTTAAAGATTTTATTTATTTATTCATGAAAGACAGAGAGAGAGAGAGAGAGAGGCAGAAACACAGGCAGAGGGAGAAGCAGGCTCCATGCAAGGAGCCTGACGTGGGACTTGATCCCGGGTCTCCAGGATCACGCCCTGGGCTGAAGGCAGGCGCTAAACTGCTGAGCCACCCAGGGATTCCCCTTCTTGTCACTTCTATCAGTAGTTCATTCCTTTTTTAATGATTATCATTCAGTTGTATGGCCATCCCCTAGTGTGTTTCTCCATTACCAATTGATGGACATTGGATTGTTTCCAGTTTGGGATCATTATGAACGAAACTGCTGTGAACATTTATGTTGGAGTCTTTGTGGGGACATATGTTTTCATTTCTCTTGGGAAATACCTGGGAGGGGAATATAAGGCAAACAATTTTATAAGAATTAGTTTTCCCTTTTTAAAAATATTTATTATTGAAGTACAATTGACATACAATGTTATACTAGTTTCAGGAACACAAGATACTGATTTGATGATTCTATCAGTGTATAGAATGCTCACCAATACCCATTGCTCACCATGAAAAGTGTAGTAACCATCCAACGTTATTATGATATTATTGACTATATTTCCTATGCTGTAGTTTTCATATCCTTGACTTATTTATTTTATAACTGGAAGTTTGTGCACCTTAATCCACTTCATCTATTTTGACCAACCCCCCCCCCCACATTCACCTCCCATCTGGCAACCACCAGTTTGTTCTCTGTATTTAAACTGTTTATTTTAGGGGATCCCTGGGTGGCTTAGCAGTTGAGGGCCTGCCTTTGACCCAGGGCAGATCCTGGAGTCCCGGGATCCTGGAGTCCCGGGATTGAGTCCCACGTCAGGCTCCCTGCATGGAGCCTGCTTCTCCCTCTGCCTGTGTTTCTGCCTCTCTCTCTGTCTCTCTGTGTCTATCATGAATAATAAATAAAATCTTTAAATAAATAAATAAATAAATAAATAAATAAATAAACAAACAATTTGTTTTACAGTTTTGTGATTCCACATATAAGTGAAATTACATGGTGTTTGACTTATTTCACTTAGCATAATACTCTCAGTGTCCAGCCATGTTGTCACAAATGGCAAGATTCCTTTTTATGCCCAAGTAATATTTGTTTTTGTGTCTGTTTATCACATTTTGTTATTGTAAATAATGCTGCAATAAACAGCATATATCCCCATGCAATAAACACATTTCTTTTCAAATTAATGTTTTTGTTTTCTTTGAGTAAATAGCAGAAGAATTACTGGATCATATGATAATTCTATTTTTAATTTTTTGAAGAACCTCCATACTGTTTTCTACAGTGGCTGTACCAGTTGACATTCCCACTAAGAATGCCTGAGGGTTCCCTTTTCTCCACATCCTTGTCAACACATTATTTCTTACCTTTTTAATCCTAGCTGTTCTGACAGGGGTAAGGAAGGTGGTATCTCATTGTAGTTTTGATTTATAGTTCCCTGATGATTAGTTATTGAATATCATTTTATATGTCTGTTAGCCATCTGTATGTTTTCTTTGGAAAAATGTCTCTTAGGTCTTGTGTCCATTTTAAAATCAGATGTTTTTGGTGTTGAGTTGTATAAATGCTTTATGTATTTTGGATATTAATCCTTTAGCATATCATTTGCAAATATCTTCTTCCATTCAGATTTGCCTTTTGTTTTGTTGATAGTTTCCTTTCCTGTGCTTTTTGTTTTGTTGTAGTCCCAGTAATTTATTCTTGCTTTTGTTTCCTTTGTCTGAGAAGTCATATCCAGAAATACATTGCTAATGCTTATGTCTAAGAGATTACTACCTATATTTTCTTCTAGGAATATTACTGTTTCAGGTATTACATATAGGTCTATAATCCATTTTGAGCTTATTTTTTGTGTATGGTGTAGCAACATGGTCATTTCATTCTTTTGCATGTAGATGTCCAGTTTCTCCAATACCATTTATTGAAGAGACTGGCTTTTCCCTGTTGTATATTCTTAGCTCCTTTGTCATAAATTAATTGACCATATAGGCATGGGTTTATTTCTGGGCTGTTTATCCTGTTCCATTGATCTATGTGTTTATGCTATCGCCATACTATTTTGGTTTCTACAGCTTTGTAGTATATTTTGGAGTCTGGGACTGTGATACCTCCAGCTTAGTTCTTTCTCAGGATTACTTTGGCTATTCAGGATCTTTTGTGATTCCATACAAATTTTAGGATCATATGTTCCAGTTTTGTAGAAAATGCTGTTGGTATTTTGATAGGGATTGCATTAAATCTGTAGATTGCTCTGGGTAGTATGGACATTTTAGCAATATTAATTCTTCCAATCTACGAGCACAGTATATCTTTCTCTTTGTGGTGTTCTTAATTTATTTCTCAGTGCCTTACAGTTTTCAGAGTACAGGTCTTTCACCTCCTTGGGTAAGTTTATTCGTAGGTATTTTATTATATTTTGTGTAATTGTGAATAAGACTGACCTCTTAATTTCTCTTTCTGCTTCTTTGTTATTGGTGCATAGAAACACAACAAATTTCTGCATGTTGATTTTGTATCCTACAAGTTTACTGAGTTTATTTGTGAGTTCTAATCACTTTTTGGTGGAGTCTTTCAGGTTTTCTCTCTCTATATATATATAGTATCATGTCATCTGTGAATAGTGACAGTTTTACTTCTTTGTTACAGTTTTGATGCCTTTTATTTCTTTTTCTTGTCTGGTTGCTGCAGCTAGGACTTCCTAGTACTATGTTAAATGAAAGTGGTGAGAGTGGACATTCTTGTCTTGTTCCTAATCCTAAAAGGAAAGCTCTGTTTTTCACCATGGAGTATGATGTTAGCTGTGAGGTTTTCATATATGAACTTTATAAAGTATGTTCCCACTTATGTCATTGAGACTTTTTATCATGAAAGAGGTTGTATTTTGCTAAATGCTTTACCTGTATCTTTTGAGAGGATAATGTGGTTTCTGTTCTTCCTCCTGTTAAAGTTATGTATCACATTGATTTGTGAATATTGAACTACCTTTGTATCCCTGGAATAAATCCTACTTGATTGTGGTGAATCATCTTTTAATGTATTGTTAGACTCAGTTTGCTAATATTCTGTTGAGGATTTTTGCAGCCATGTTCATCAGAGATACCGGCCTAGAGTTTTCCTTTTTTTGTAGTGTCTTTGGTTTTGGTATCAGGGTAATGCTGGCTTCATGGAATGAATTTGGAAGTTTTCCTCTCTCTTCCTTTTTTTGGAGTAGTTTGAGAATAGGTATTAATTCTTCTTTGAATGTTTGGTAGAATTTAAGAAGTCATCTGATTCAGGACTTTTGTTTATTGGGAATTTTTTGATTACTGATTCAATTTCATTACTGGTAACTCATTTGTTCAGATTTTCTAGTTCTTCCTAATTCAGATCAGAAGGTTGTATGTTGCTAAGAATTTAATTTCTTCTAGGTTATCCAGTTGGCATATGATTTTCCATGATATTCTCTTATAATGCTTTGTACTTGATGTGGTGTCTCTTTCTTCATTTCTGATTTTATTTGAGTTCTCACTGAGATTTGTTAATTTTGTTTATCCTTTCAAAGAACCAGCTCCTTTTTCATTGATCTTTTCTTTTTCTTTTATTTATTTCTTTTAAAGATTTATTTGCACGTGTGTGTGTATAAGGAAGGGCCAGAGGGGAAGGGAGAAAATCTCAAGCAGACTCCGCACTGACTGTGGAGTCCAATGCCAGGCTCTGTCTTGTGACACTGAGATCATGACCTGAGTCGAAACCAAGAGTCAGATATTTAACCAACTAAGCCACCTCGGTGCCCCTCTATTGTTCTTTCAATCTCTATTTATTTCCATTCTAATCTTTCTGTTTTCCTTCTACTAGCTTCGGGCTTAGTTTGTTCTTCTCTTTTTAGTTCCGTTAAGTGTAAGATAGGTTGTGAGGG